AGGGAGCCCGATGCGGGACTCGATCCCAGGACCCTGGGATCATGACCTGAGCCGAAGGCAGTCGCTTAACCGACTGAGCCACCCAGGCGCCCAAAAATTAAGTCCCTTTAAAAAATAACAACAAAATAAAAAGGGGGCAGCCCGAGACGTTAAGGCCTAACTTAAGAGCTTCTGTCTCAAATTAAAATTTTTGAACCTCCAGTAATATCTGCCTTTTCTTTTCCCACAATTTCGCTCATATGTTGTTCATAAATCTTAACTCTTAACGATGGGGTTTTGGCTTCCCTGTTAGGTGAAATATTTCATTTAACTTAGCCAAAGCCAGACTCAGAGCAGCCTGGGAATCGTTAGGCAGCTTCCCTTCTTCCCAATACATCAAGAGTCTCTGTATGATTCCTTCTTGTTTATTTTTAGGGCGAGGAGGAGTTGTTTTGGACTCCCCTGTGGTGGTGGTTAGGTTGCAGTATTGTCTATGTAGCTGGAACATAAGCTGGGATTCGGCCCCTGCTTTGAAGTGGTAACATCATGAATGGCCCATCAGCGGAGTGCGGCCTGGTTCAGCATCCACAGGCCTGATTTCTGCTTGTAATCTGATTACGGGGTTTGAGCTGTTCCAGCCTGCAGCCTCCTGCTCTGCGTCTACTATACTTTCAAGGACACAAGTGCCTGATTGCTCTAGCCCTGGGCTGTGAAAAATCTCAACCCAGTTTTGCTTAGACGGGCTGAAGGCCACGGCTGGTGGAGAGGACCAAGCTCTAGAGCTCTAGAAAGTGAGTAAACTTTCTAGGTGCAACCATGTTCAGAAGCCCAGAGATTGCTGGCTGTCTGGGAGCTTTCAAGTTCCCTGAGAAACAAGGTAAGGTGAGAGAAAGAGGAACTGCATTTGCGGGTTTATTTTATAACGGGATGAATGCCTTGCATCCTCCATTTTACCTTGTATTCTCCTGTGTCCGGTTAGTTATAGTTTCCTCAAAGGACACTTGAAAGATCCTAGTGAGTTTATAAATTAGCTTATTTTGTGGCTGAAAAACGTGAGGTTTTTTTTGTTTTATTTTTTTCCTATTGTAGGTTAGAGATACTGCTGAACCACGAAAGCCTTTATGCAGGAAAAATTGCAAACTCAGTCACAATGCCCAAACTTTGGGTCCCAGTTCTGGATATGCTGTGCTTTAGCTAAAATAGTTTTCTAAACCGAATGCTATATATACTAAATTATTTCCAGTAGACAGTGGTGTTTGTCTTTTTATTAAATCTTCATGTGATACTCTTTGGAACAAAATGTTGTTTTTGTAGTGGCTTCCTTTTGAGTACAGAGGAAAATGCATGCTTTCCATTTAACTACTGGAGTGGCACCGCGGATTCTGTTCACTGATTGAACAAAACTGAAATGCTGAAGTTATTTTGACCGTCACATGTGAAATTCAGGCAGTCTGTGTCCAAGTCTTTTACAGCACAAATGCACTTTTAGGAGGTGATTTGAACAGGCCTCAGCTTCAGGAATTTTCTTCTACAACATTTGGTAGCTTTTTGAACTGAGTTCTCTTTTTTAAAATACGTAACAAGATATTTGTATAAGTAGGAAAAAAGCTTAGGTGTTTAGTTGGCATGATACCTTTCATTTTATTATATCTCTCTAATTGGTAAGAATTTCCAAATTCCGGGATTCTGTATGTGTTTTGCTGGATAATGACATGTCAGCATCTGGTCTATTTTGTACCTCCTTTTCCTCAGGCTTCTGCCCCCAAATATTAAACAGTAAAAGGCACTTGCTTAGAACTCTGTGTAAGTGGTCTGCTTGTGGTTTTCTTGGTGGACAAATGGTTACTATACCAAAAGCTGTAAAACAGATTACTTGCCATTAGACTGGTATAAATTTGTCTCTGCCTGGTTTTGATTAACTGGTCCACCCGGATGTGTGTTTTTGCTGCATGGGATTGTTACCACCTGTCTTTACATAATACATATCTTATCTTCAAAAAGAAAGAAAGAAATTGTTAATTTGATGTGTTGTTGTCTAGATTTTAATGAAGACAATAAAGACAGCGGGCTTGTTCCCCTGCTCCTCATTAACCCCTCCACGCACACATTCTTTAAAGGCATCTCAAACATATCAGGCGGTGATGAGTTTCACCGTTTCTGGTTACCTGGACCGAAATTGTTAAATGTTTTTTCTCCTTTTTTTCCCCTGAGTACGTAACTGTGCCGTTCAGTATTTAATTGCTTTGAGTTATTCTTGTAGCTATAACAAATTTAAATGATAGTATTGAACTATGTCAGATTCCCACCCCCCCCCCGACCACCTGCAGAGTTATGTTGGCTAAATTTCAGGAGAGGAAGAAACTTTGCATATGTAAAATGTATGTTGTGGAATTTGATTCTTAAAAGGTGTCATTTTTGTATTCATATTTCTTGTCTGGTTAATGGTTTCCTTTTTCTTAAGTTATATGCTCAAAGGTACTTTGAAGAATTTTTTTTTCATTGGAGTTTATTTTTAAAAAAACAAAACTTATTGTGTAGTTATTTCAATGTTACATTTTTTCTTTCCCCTTAGATTTCAACCAGAAAAACTTAAACTGCGTTGGATTACCAAGTCAAAGAAAAGTTTCAAGGTAAAGTGGTCTTTGCGCAAGGAATCATAAGTTTTGAAGATTTGTGGTAGCTTTTAGAATTATTCTCCTAAATTCCTAATTCATGAGTTTGAATGTTTGGCAATATGTTTTCTCCCCAGAGTTTGATTTATTAAAATATATAAAGCAAGCTGACCTAATAGTATGTTCAGCTAAAAAAGATTATTTTTGTATTCATTAATGCTTTTATGGGAACTATTTACAGATCGGATATAAGTTTGAACCTGTAAAGGGCTATTATCTTTTCTTTCTTGTACCAGCCTCCAAGTGTGGGATGTTCTTTTGCAGTCTGTCCATCAAGTAAGAGAGCTTTTGATTTTTCAAGAAAAACTTTAGCCTTGTTCTTTCCTTCCATCCTTCCTTCTTCCCTCCTTCCCTCCCTGCCCCCATCCAATCCATCTGTCCAGTGAGGTCTTTTTTTTTTTTTTTTTCTTGACAGAGAGAGAGAGAGCACAAACAGGGGGAGCGGCAGGCGGAGGGAGAGGGAGAAGCAGGCTTCCTGCAGAGCAGGGGGAGCCCAATGCAGGACTCGATCCCAGGACACTGGGATCATGACCCGAGCCGAAGGCAGATGCTTAACTGACCCAGGCATCCCCCAGTGAGGTCTTTTAACCGTTCTGCACTTCAGTTCCCTTGACTGCAAGATGTTATGGGTACTAATTTGATTTACCTAATGTGTTATGACTCTCTGGTACATAATCATTCATATAAGCTCTTGTAAAAATTAAAGTTTGTGCCAAACAAGATAGCTGTATCTCAGATGCTTCTTAGTAGATCACCGTCCCTAATAGATTTTGAGATTTTCAAGTGAATACACAAAGTTATTATCCGTAAGATATGCAGGCATCAATCCCAATGTACATTTCATGATGGTAGAAGGACCCAACCCTGATCTAACCCCTCATTCCACTCAGATGCTTTTGTTCCTAATGTATCGTGTATGACATTGTTTCTTTACTATAAAGGGTTTGCATTTCAATGGCATTGAATAAACAGATGTCCTCATCAGACTGAGCCTTGTCCTGCATTGAAAATGGCACAATTGATCTTGTGAGCACATTAGTGAGATAAAGCCTTGATGGATTGGATCCATGTCTTAGTATCAGGCCACCTAGAGCCGTAATGAGCCAGGGTCAGCAGTAAGGCTGTCTGTCTTATTTAACTCAGGAAATCTTAACTTTTCTGGTGCTTGGCACAGTCTCCCATATTTCTCATCTTTGCCATATTTTTGATAGAATCTAAGGCTTACAGCCTTAGATTAGTTAGTTCCAGCTACTATAACAAAATACTATAGACTGGATGGCTTATAAACAGCAGAAATTTATTTCTCACAATTCTGGAGGCTGGAAGTCTGAGGTCAGGGTGCCAGCATATTGGGGTGAGGGCCCTCTCTCAGGTTTCAGACTGCCAACTTCTTGTATCCTCATTTGGTGGAATGAGCTGGAGAGATCACTGGGTCTCTCAGAGGGGTTGTTTTATTTTAATTGAAGTATAGTCAATCTCTGGGTCTCTTTTTACAAGGACAGTATTCTCATTCATGACGTCTTTACCCCGTGACCTATCACCTTCCAAAGTCCCCACCTCCTAGTATCATCACGTTTGGGGGTTAGGATGTCAACATCTGAATCTGGGGGAATACAGATGTTCAGACCAGAGTAGCTTAGTTCCCAGTTCGTCCCTAGCAGGTTGGTGTAGCTGTAACAGAGCTAGTAAGTGACTATGAAAAAGGAAGAAGAGGAAAGCATTGCTTACTTAAGGATAGCAGAAGCGTGAACTAGGAGGTCAGACGTTGCAGTAGAGACAGATTCAGAGGGACACAACTGCTCTGAAATGGTGAACAGTATCTCCTCCGGACCCATGCAAATCACAGTCTCCTTGCCATGAGCTAGAGTAAAATAGGCTGGAGATGCAAGCACTTGCCTCCTTCAAAGCAGTCTAGTCAACCAGATGCCAGAGGTGCAAATAGGAGGTAGTGGACTTTGATCTCTCCTATCCTGTAATGTGAACTCCAGTAGAAGAGTGAACAGATTGGAGGGAGCCTTTCCCAGCGTGGGTGCTGACTAATCACTGTCATGGTATAGCCCCATTTTGTCAAAGATAGGCGCTAGTAACTGCAGAACATCCTGTCCTCACTTCCCTAAAATTTCCCCTTGTTTCTACTGCTGGTATTTATTTATTTATTTATTTTTTAAAGATTTTATTTATTTATCTGACAGAGAGAGAGACAGCAAGAGCAGGAACACAAGCAGGGGGAGTGGGAGAGGGAGAAGCAGGCTTCTCGCTGAGCAGGGAGCCGGATGCGGGGCTCGATCCCAGGACCCCAGGATCATGACCTGAGCCGGAGACAGACACTTAATGACTGAGCCACCCAGGCACCCCTCTACTGCTGGTATTTAAGTAGGTTAATGGGACACATTAAAAAAAAAATTATGGAGGCAGGGAGCAATCTCTTCTTAGATTATTGAAGCAGAGGGAAGGAGGTAGAGTATGTAAAATTTAGTCCTGAAGAGAGCACTATTTCAGAGGAGATGGAAAATATATAAAAAATACAAAAGGTGCTTCTTAATAGTAGAAACTTTTAAAATATAATTCAAAAATCAAGACTGTAGCATTTACTTTAGTTATATATGGAGTTATATATTTCATATTGAATTACAGACTCATGCTTTCAGTTTAGCTGTGGCAACCCATCCATGCCTATGGAGGTTGTCGGGCAGAGGCTCCTTGTGCCAGGGGTGATGGTCCGTGAAGAGGGGAGCACCATCCAGCATGCGGAGCTCAGTGCTTTGGAGTCATCTATTGTGTGAGTTAGGCTTGGGCTCCACCAGTCACACTGCTTGGTACCCCTGACTCAAAAAAGTGAGAGGAGGGTGATGTTAGGGCCCTTTGGGGTATTTGTGTTTTACCAGCCATTAGATGATCAGAAGGAGTTACTCTTTCACAAATGTTCCAGAATCCTTTTTTTTTTTTTTTTGAGAGAGTGTGTGCTAGCATATGGCAGGGAGGGGTAGAGGGAGAAGGAGAGAGAGACTCTTAAGCGGGCTCCACACTCAGCGCAGAGCCCGATGGGGGACTCAGTCTCACGACCCCTGAGATCGTGACCTGAGCCAAAACCAAGAGTCGGAGGCCTAACCGACTGAGCCACTCAGGAGCCCCTATGAATCAATAATTTGAAATGAGACACTTGCAATATGTTCTACAGTTAAGAAACCAGGATACCATGAGAGAAAACAACAGAGGTGCATGATATAGATTCGGTCTGCAGTGAGGCAGGCACTGGGTCAGGGGGTTTCTTCCTTGAGGAACTGACCTTAATCTGAGACCCAGAATAGGAGCCAGACTCAGTCAGGATGGGGAGGAGGGAACTCAGAGTAAACGGCATTTACAGTGAACCATGTTAGGAGCCATGAGCGCGTTTCCTGACAGCATTTGGGTTTTCCATTGGTTCCTGACCAACTGTGAAAAGGCTGTCCTTTTCATTGGTGCTGACACTCTTGTAGCTTGTTTGAAGAAAGTAAGTTTAGGGGCTGTCAGGGGATGACTCGGAAACCCCACTATAGAAGTTCAGAAAAATGTTTAACTGGGGAGCAGTTTCTTAGTCTTTATTAGCAGCTTTTTGATAAGCACAAAAAAGGGGGGAAATAGAAGCCAGCAGATATTTATGTTTGAAAATACGAGATAATATTTGTACCCCAAGGTCAATGGCCTGAGAAACTGAATATTTCAGGGATTGGACCATTTTGTTTCAATATAGAGTTCTTTTCCTGAGATTTGAGTTTCCCGAAGAAAGTACCGAACTTTATCAAGATGTTTACACAAGTAGCTAAATAACCAGTTACAATAGCATGCCATTCTTTAAGTAGGCTTCATTTCTACAGTTATCTAATTCTGTAGGTTTATACTAAGTCCTACATCTGAATAAAACACTGAAAAAGAATTGTCAGTGCATCATGATTCACTGTTTAGAAGTCAGTGCTAATTCCACATTTCTGACCTAAGCAGGTGTCTTCAAGCCATCTGGAGTGTGGTTTATAAAGACTACTTAATCTCAAGACTTTTTATTAAATAATATGAATACATGGCAGTCATATTTATAGAATATAAACCCTACCACATTTAGAAGCAACAAGTAAGATTTCAGATGAACTTGGTTCTGGAAGATGGACGCGTCCCCTATTTTGGAATGTGCGGCAGCTCCTTGAAATTGAATTTATGTATGGGGTATAGATGATTCGTGTGTCCCACTTACCTAGTACGCACAGCACCTTCCTCAGTCCAGTCCCCCCTCACACTTCTATGGGCATGCACCCCTGCAGAGCGGAAATGCAAATGGAGGACGAGCCCATGGTGAAGGTCAACTTTGCACTGATCTTCAGCCTTTGCAAGCCTGTCGTTCACCTCTCCGGAGGTGATCATATCACTGGGGAATATTAGTTTTTCTGTTTTCATGCTAGGTTTTCTTCCTGTGTGGCGACAGCTCTGTCGTCTTGCCCAACCCCAGGCACGCTCCCGCGGAGGCCTATGGGGTTGGTGCCCCGCAGCCTGGGGGCCCCTGCACACAGTGTGAGAGGAGCTAGATTTGTATCTCATCCTTGGGCAAACCATGTAACAGCTTCCTAATCTGCAAACCAAGGATGATGATAGTGCCCGTGGTGTGCTGGGGCCCTCTCGCACCTCCTCGCGAGAGTGAGCACGTGCCTCTCTTTCAGCTTGGAGTCCAGAGAGTCCTGTGGGAAGCTTGAAAATCGGCCATAGTGGGAGTATTGACACCATCAGCAAAGACTGCAAAGCATGTGCTTAGCGGAAGGGGGCAGGAGAGCAAGAGGAAGGAGCCCGTTATTAAACGTTTCTCAGCACAGCACTGAGTGGTTCAGGCCTCATGGGGTCTTACGAAGATAATTAAGATTATACCTGGAATATGCCTACTTAGAGAAGAAAAGTACATAGTGCTTAGTTCCTTATTCTTCCCCTCTTCATTTCCTCCTCCATTCTAAGCCAAGTTTTCATGAGCCTTTCAGACCTATTCACCATGCTTTGATTTCTTGGTTGTTTGAAGGCATGTGTTACTTTACCATAATTTCAACCCTGGAGGAAAGCATGTTCATAACCTAGACAAGTTGCTGATTTTCTGAGGAAGAGAAGAACACAGAGAGGTTGCGTGATTAATCCAAGCTTCCACAGCTATGGGCGAGTAGCTCCAGAAGAGGGTGTCCATCCCAACCGAGGCGTCCAACTCTCAGCTCAGCCATGTGTTACCCGCTGACGCCACGCCCCCTGCCTGTGCTGTTGTAATTCTTCCCTTGCACAAAAAGGTCATAGTAATATAACTATAAATAAACGAAAAAAGCTACCATTTAACTCCCTGAAATAAAATTTTTACTTGTAATCCACACACATGTATTTCACTATGTATAACAGTCATGTAACTTTTGTTTTGCATTTTTTGCACTTAACATCATATATCTTGATTCACATTGACTTTAAACATTAGTAATGGAATAATTTAATTTTTAGCTTTCAGAAAGAGTTCTGGCTTGAAGATAAAGAACAGCTTGCTAACCACAGAAGAAGAATCGATGCTAAGATTTTAACTGCACTTCCGAAAGGTGAGACTTTCTCTAAATGGCTGACCAGTGTCCTGGGCACATAAGTATTGTGTCACCTGATTTTCATTGAGGGGAAGTCATTCCCTAATCTCCAGCGTATACCCTCCATTGTGTTCCTTTCTGCCTCTTCCAAGAATTAACCTCAATGAAGGTATACCTCCCCTCTTGCGTGTTTCATCTACACCTTTCTCTGTGTCCTTTCTTGTTCATTTTAGGCATCCTTGGGTATTCCCTGGGCACCGGGTGGGGAGGGTGACAGAGGGAGCCAGCATAGAATCAACCTTCATTATCTCTCCTACCTTTCACTTTCTCCAGGGGCAGTGAGTTTTGCTCATAAGCCCGTATCTACTCCGTCCACTCTGCCCACTCCCTCCGCCTCTTGGTGCTTGCCAGGGTTGTTGCAATTACATTGAGTATCTTAGAGCTCCCTGCCAAGCAGCACGCTGGGCTTCCAGTGCACACTGTACCTTACACATCTCCTTCCCCAGGTAGGCACTCAGATGTTCGGTGAATTAGTATTTTCATTGGGAAAGATGGAAGTGCAATAAAACATCTGCACCTGCCATCAGCAAACTACCCCTGTGTTTTGCCTGAGAAATGATGTAAACATTAACCAGATCTTTGTGTCCCCCGACTCTAACACTGGCAGAGGGGAGTACCAGCTCACAAACTGCCTTCATCCCAGATCAGCTGTGTAGCCCTTACTTCAGAAAAAACAGGTTTGATGAGAGGTCAGATTTTTTTTTTCTTTTTTGTCCTCTGAAAGAAAAAAACAAACATGAGATCAAACCCAAAAGAAATTAGACCAGAAAAAAAATATTCTTTTAATAGAAACTAAATCTAGTTTAAAAGGCCCACTGATAAATGGGCGTACATCCTGAGGAACTGAATAGGTGATATGCTTAGACATAGTCTAATGAGGATGGATATTTGAAGGACCCCAGGGATTTGGCCTTGTGGAGAAAATTTAAACAGGGACATTTTGCAATTTTCACGTATTTAGAAAACTGTCAACTGGAATACAGACTTATTCCATGTTGCCCCAGAGGCCCTAGAACAAGAATACTGTGTTGAATTACAGGGAAGTAGGTGAGATTTCAAAGGAGAGAGACAGTTCTGATAGTTCGTGGGACCTGCGAATGAAATGGGCTGCATTACGATCTCATTCGCTCCTGTTGGCTGTTCAAGGAAGGTCATAGACTTCCATGGGAAGGGCACATGCTGTGGGTTCCCGCCTGGATGGCGTGACATGGAAGGGCCCTTCTGATTTTTTAGACTCTTTGTGAAAGACAAAGAAACTCTGGTTAATCTGGGTCAAACTTAACAATCGATGAAGATGATTCAAACAAAGTACAAGAGTGAACAGATTGACTTTAGCAGGATCTTGGAAGATTGGAATGATAGGCAAAGTTCTATAGCAAAAGCTGCTTCACTCATCCTCTTCATCTACCCTGGTCCTTTTCTTGGTGAGCAATAGTACTCGCAATATTAGAGTCAGAAAAATTAGAAACAATATATGAGATGTGAGGTTCTTTTCAGGTTCAACAGCTTGTAACTCCACATATGCCAAAATTTAAGAACACGGAAGTTGATTAACCAGTTTCATTAGAAAATGTATCATAATTGGTTATAAAAAACTTTTTCACAAATCAAAGATAACACCATGTATTTATCAGATTTATGTTTCCAAGTTCACAAGATCTTCAAAACATGCTTAAAAAGTATCAGAGCCTCTCCTCCCCCGAATTTCGTGTAAATTCCCCATAGTCTTATTTTACACTCTGCACTTTACGAATTCAGGCAGGCATGTTTGGAAAGACCCATGTATTACCGATAATCTCAGTTCTCCATCTTAACGAATATTTTAATGATTCTGTCAGCTCTTGGCAATATAATGGTGAAAGTAGGAATTGATTACAACTTTTCATGGCATAGAGTTTTATGTCTGTTTATACGTTTACAGAAGTTTCTGTTCATTTAGTGAGGAATTTTTGCTTTTGTGAAATTGAGCATTGAAATGATCATTGGCTTTTTCTGTAAAGGGGCTTCCTTTAACTGTTTATCACAAACAAGTTCTCCAAGGGTTAAAAACCTTTACTTATGTAAAGATGATGCTATTAAAATATATTTTCCACTTAAGAATTATGAAATGAACCAAATATATTACTCTACTTTCTTGATAGCTTTCTTGAGATATAATTCAAACAGTATACAATTCATCCATCTAAAGTATACAGGTCAGCAGCTTTTAGCATATCCACAGAGCTGTGCATCCATCACCACAGTCAGTTCTGGAACACTGTCATTATCCCAAAAAGAAATCCCACACCTCTCAGCTATCACCACCCCCCCCAACCCTTATTGCTCTAGTTTTGTAATCACTGATTTTATAAGCTGCTTGTCTTTGTATCAGTGGCTGCCATCCAAGTGTAAAAGTTAAAGTGTGTTACTGCTCTGGGAAGTCAGATCTGTTTTCAGGACATCCTGGGTCTGGCCTGTGCTCTTAGCCTGTCAAATGCAGGGTGGGAGAGAGGTGTTCTTGGCAGTCCCCTGCCACTTCTGTTTCTTTGGAAGATTCTACTGTACTTGGGTTTGGATGCCTGAACTCAACAATAACTTTACCAGAAAGCCTGTTTTTCTGGACTTATTAAAGAAGCGGTGTCCCCCAAGAAAACTGCCCAGCAGACCTCATTATGCCGGGTATTGGCATTATATATTATGATAAAGCATGTTAGGCAGTGAAATAACTTTATAAAGTATGATAGCCCTGATGTCAATTACCCTTAAATTACCTGACTCGGAAAATGACCATCCGATTCCCATCAAAACTAACTAAAGAAATAGACTCATAGAATCTGTATTGCCACAGAAACACCATTCGGAATTACTCAGACAAGGGCAACAGGCTAAGATAGCAGGTGCAATGAGGAATAATTTAGTATATGTCACAGTTTTAATGTACTTGAAGGCAAAGTAGAAAATTCATTAAAACAGAGGTTAGATCAACAGTGCCTGTTTAGATCTGTATTATATGATGACTAGTATTACTAATACTGGAACCATTTATGAATTGTACACATTACGCCACAGCATACAATCAATTGAATTATGACTGCTTAATCCAATTTTATTTTATTTTTTCAAAGATTTTGTTTATTTGAGAGAGAGAGAGTGTGTACAGGCAGGGGGAGTGGCACAGGGAGAGGGAGAAGCAGACTCCCACAGATCAGGGAGCCCAATGTGGGGTTCGATCCCAGGACCCTGAGATCATGACCTGAGTTAAAGGCAGATGCTTAACCAACTGAGTCACCCAGGTGCCCCAGCTTAATCCAATTAAAAAAAATTCTTATTTCCTGTTTTAAGGAAATATACACTGATGAATTTAGAGATAAAGGAATATCATGCTGCAACTTACTCTTGAATGGTTCAGAAAAATTAATACGTAGGGGTGCCTGGGTGGCTCAGTCGGTTGAGCGTCTGACTCTTGGTTTTGGCTTGGGTCATGATCTCAGGGTCATGGGATGGAGCCCCACGGCCAGCTCCTTACAGGGTGTGGAGCCTGCTTGGAATTCTCTCTCTCCCTCTCCCTCTGCCCCATCCCACACTCATGCTCTTGCTCTCTGTCTCTCTCTCTCTCTAAAATAAATAAATAAATCTTTTAAAAAATAATATGTAAATATGTGTACATGCATGCATGTGTATACATATATAACACATGTAAATATGTATATGGAAAAGGATAAAAATAAACCAAATGTAGTAAGTAAAGTATAAACATGTTATGAAACATGTCTTGATTTTTCTGTAAGTCTGAAATTATATAACAGTTGTAAAGAAAAGACAGCTTTTGGTAGATCATAAACAGTACCTGTATTCTGTATTCTGTACCTGTATTCTGTATTCTGTATACCTGTATTCTGTAAACTGTATTCAAGACTATCATCCAGATGATACCTGTGGTAGTGCTTTATGAATGAAACAATGGAGGGCAACATAGATTTCCACAGCTGGGGTGACTTCTGTGATTTCTTAGTGTTAGCTCTTTTTTAATGCTTTATAATAAACCTGACCAAAAATTCCAACCGGAGGGCCTAATGAGGACTGCAAGAGCCCAAAAGAGGTTGTTGTTTTTTGGTTTTTTGGTTTTTGGTTTTTTTCCTGGAGAGGGTCAGAAAAAGTATGCACACATCAGCAATTCAAATAAAACCTACTCTCTTTCCTACAACTGAAGTATTTTCCCATGGAATAGATATACTAGAGTAATTATATTGCATGTTTGCTTTACTAATTTTACTTTTAAATTATAGTCTTGGGAAAGGAAGCTTCTCTATTACTTCTTTTGTCTTCCACATCATTTCTTTCCCCTGTAATCTCATGTCTATAGGATTGAAGCAAATCTGGGTAACTGAAAAATAGATTTGTTACAAAGAATAGACTGAGAGGTAATTTGTTTGCTTAAGGGATTTTTTTTTTTTATAAGATTCACTATGGATTTCCACTAAGAATGAATAAGCTTGCTGATACATTTATTTATTTAATTTTAAAGTAATCTCTACACCCAGCATGGGGCTCGAACTCACCATCCCAAGATCAAGAGTCGGGTGCTCGACCGACTGAGCCAAAGTGCCCCTAGCTTGCTGATACGTTTAAAGTTTATGGTTTGATTTATGACTTCATTTCACTCCTCAGTAAATAATTGGACAGGACTATAGCTTATAGGCTTGAAACGGTTTTGAGTTTGAATCTAGGTGTGGTTGAAAAGAATGCAGTCCTGGCTAGTGGTGTCTGTCATTGGGATAACCTAGAGCACAGGCATCCAGGGGCCTGGCTGCTTATTTGAATCTTTGTTCTGGGATTGGTGCTTCTCAATCCCAGACAGTGACGTCCGCAGGGGGCTTTGGAAACAAGTGGGAGCATTTTTGCGTCATGGCAACTGGTAATGATTAGGCATTTGGTAGGGGAGTGAAGGATACTTAACATCCTGAGGTGCAGGACTCACGAAG